ATCTTCCAATACCTGTTTTTGAAGAAAGTTTTTCTCATTTTTGGCGGTGGAGAGGATAGACAATTTTTAGAGATATTTGGAAACACTGATGGAGGATTATTTGGTCTCAGCTTACCACAATATAAACTCAGCATCATCTGGCCATTGCAATTTACAACACTATATTTTGTTAAATTCCGATGTGAGCGAGGAATACTCATAAGCCAGTTGTTTTCCCAAATACTTCACGAGGAAATTTGTATACAGATATTTTACAATCTGAAGACATAATTTGAGCAACAGTTTGGAATGCAGCATTTTAAAGGCATCATAAATTATTTCTTTGAAAACACTACCAATATTTTATAACTTTAAACAGGTTTTTTAAAACCGACCTTCAGTCAAGAAATTTCCCGCATGATGTTGAGGCCTCCTATTAAGAAGGCCCTGGTTACAAACAACAATTAATTGTTAGTCTTTTTTATAATCTTTTTTTTCACTTGACATGAACTCTTCCTCAACTTTCTTTATTGTCCTTGGTGCACAAAATCTAACCTTCTATATAGAAATCTGCTACTAAATTGCTTGCGGTTTTGTTCTTAAAACTCATTAACAAATCTTTTAATTTTTAAAATAGGCTAATATTGCTTGTGGGTTTCTAATTTTTTTTTTTAATATAATTTATTCTCTTTTATAAATACATTTTTTCATTTTTCAAATCGGCTAAGATTGATTGTGGGTTTGTAATTTTTTTATAAATTTTTTGAAAATAATTTTTTTTTTAAATAAAGTTGAAAAAATAAATTACAACGTAATTTTGTTTAATATTAATATAAAAATATACTACATATGTGGGAGGACTAGGGTGGTAATGCAAATGAAATGTTTGTACTTTATTTTATTTTACTTTTATATAAAAAAATTTGATCCTTTAAAAAATATATATTCCACTCCTTTAATCAGGAAATTTCTTTAATAAGGATAAAAGGCTCGATTTAATTACTAATGTCTTGACAAACACATTGCTAAATATTGTAACTCTCTGTAAAGACTAAAAAGTAGAAAATAAAATATAGCAAAAATATTTGCTAAAAAATATAATCTTTTTTTTACTAAAAAGTAGAAAATAAATTTTTTAAATTAAATTTAATAGTTCAGTAAACTAAAGATTGACAGGTCTGCACAAGGTTTATATAGAAACATACCTGTCAATCTTTAGTTTATTTTCTACTTTTTAGTACAAAAAAGATTATATTTTTTAGCAAATATTTTTTATATATTTTATTAGTGTTTTTATTTTACGCGAAGGCTTTAAATAAAATAAAAAATTAATTATAATGATCTTTGTGTAAATTAAAAATGTAATTTTTTCTTAGTAGGCATGTATTTTTTATGATAAAGTTAAACATTTGAAACTATTTTTCTGCATCTTTCTAAAAATCTTTAAGATTTTTTTAAAAATACTTTAATTATGAATAAGTTTAATTAAAATCTTCCTGTTGCAATAGAATGATTTAATTGCTTTATTTTTTTGGTTCTATTTTATACAAAGAATTGTTTAAAATCATTTTTTTTTATACTTGACTTTCTAATGAAATGATTAAAAATTATTTTAAAAAGATTGTCTTTTTTTATTGAAAAAACTTTATTAAAAAAATTTTTTTTTTTTTTGCAACTTTTTCAAAAAAATGTTAATGCATTTTTTAAATATATTTTTTTCATTTCAATAATTTAGTTACATATTTTAAATAAACAACAGTTTAAATAAAATTTGTTGATATATTAGACATTAAAAGTAATTTGTAAAAGCGTTTTATGTAACTTTAATAAAAAAACTTCAAAAGATAAGTTTTAAAGAAATTTATTTCAACCGCAATTGAAAAAGTAACAAAAAGTAAGTTTTGCCTCGAGTTTGAGTTTTGAGTTATATTTTAAAGCTTATATATTTTCTTTTTAGTAAGGAGTTGTTTTCTTTTTCAGTTTTTTTAATTTTTTTCATAGTTTTCAGACTTGAAAAAATAGGACTTGAAAATGTTAAGCTAAACTGTTTAGCTTAGCGTTTCTTTTTTCAGTGCATTTCTGAAATGTTTAAATTCATGTCTGTTGTTTACCTAGTTTTAATAAAACAACAAATAAATATAAACCTTAACCATGATACTCATTACAAATATCATACTACATTTCCCAAAAATTTTTGCTCAAGCAATATCAAAATGATGACTTTTAAAAATGTGACAGTCGCTCTATTTATTTAGATGCTTTAATTTTAATTTGTTTATTTAGAACAGATGCTTTGTTTATTTAATGTATTTGAATGCAATTTAATCCTTATGCAAATGTTTAAGTTTTTTTTTTATAGTTATATGTTATATATTTTAAAGTTATATGTTATATTGAGTCTTTTTATGTTTGAATATTTTCTTGTTATATTTTTCATACCTTTAAGACATAAAAAACCAGGAAAGAATGCTTTACACAAATTATTTTCATCGTCATTGAAATTAGTTAAAGTGAGTTTTTTTACTCTGTAGTTATCTGTTTAATCAATATAATTTTTCTTTTAGGTTTTCACTAGGGTTTCCAAAAAACCGCATTTATAAAAAACCACGGTTTTGGTTTTAATTAAAAAAAAACCTGTGGTTAACTGCAGTTTTCAGTTTTTCTTGTTAAATAATAAAACTTATGTAAATTTATCTTATTGTTAATTTAAAAAGTTATTTAAACAAATGATTATAACATGTTAATATTTCAAAATAAAACTTATAATGACTTATTTTTATTGAATAAAACTTTAAGAAAACTAAATATTTTAACGATTCATCAGATAATCATCTGATTTTTGTGCAGAAACTAGTGCAGCTCATAAAAATGCGCTCGACATCTGTTAAGGTGGGTTTTATAGAGAGAATTGTGTTGTAAATTTTTTAAAGACTCTTTGTTCTATTACCCTTAAATAAATACAAATAAAACTCTTAAGCCATTTGTGTTGATCATTAGTGAGCATGAATTCAAGATGTCTGCTGTCAATAACGTTGCATCTTCTCTGCTAAGGAATTTCACAGCTAGTTTATGCTGGCTCTAAAGTGGCATGTAATGAAGTTAATGACTCAAAATCTAGCTTGTTGATTACATCCAGAGCATTTAATTGAGTAAATGTCTGGAATAAACATTTCTTAGTTATTAACAAAAGCACAGTCATTGAAAAAAGTGAATTTTAACGATGATGAACATCTAGATGCCATTCGATTTCTTTACCAAATTCCTCAGTAACTTACTTCTGAAAAATTTGATTGCAAACTGATGAGATTTTTATGAATTTCACTACTTTATTGCATTCATCAAAATTTCAGGGTAGTTGATATTAATCTCATTGTTTACTGATTCAAAACTAAAATTATTATTATAAATTCCATGTTCATCCTCTTCTGAATCAGTGTTCATTTCCTTAGGAATTGGTAGGTATGTGTCTTTATTTTTTTTGAATAACGTGTCGCATACACCAACATGAATTTCATGATTAAAGCAAAACTGATCAACAATGCTGTTTAATTGCATAAGCTTCTTGTTGATTGCTGTACCATCATGAGTTGAACCTACTACATCTTTTTCCATACAGACACCAAATAAATTTAAATGGTTCTTAATATTTGTATTAAACTTTCAGCTGGACAGAAACCCTAAATCCTAATGGCCCCAGTTTTATAGGTTTTCTTACATTCACTTTCATGCAGGTTGACACCAATGTACACTCTGTGCCTCAAAGATGTGTATTTATTATGCGTTAAGCTGAATTTATGTCCTATTTGAATTTTTTAAATAATTTCTTGTTTCATCACTTCCTTTTTATCATAAAAATCTTGATAGATTAAGTTCATCACAGTTGTTGGACTTTTAGGAAGATGATTATTTTTTTGTTGAATTGATGAGTGAATAAATTTTATCATATTAATTTATAAAATTTATAATCATGTCAAGAAGTTGTAGCTAGATCAGCTACAATTTCTTTGAGGCTTGTATTTTGTAAATTACTGTCCATGGCTTTAATTATTTTTCCGGTGGTGGATTTCCGGTGGTGAATTTCCGGTGGTGGATTTCCGGTGGTGGATTTGAGCTACTGCTGGATGATACAGCTGCTGCTTGATTCGAAGTACTATTGATAGTAGTTCATGTAAAGTATGATTACACAAAGTAGTTGTGGATCCATTGAAGCATGTTACAACAGAACCGCATCTACAACAGATGCCTTCAATATCTCTTGATTTTGGAATTTTACGCCAAGTAGCAAATTACAAAACTGAGGACATAATTTATCTGGAAGATAATTTCATAAAGTTAAATAATTGATAGAAGCATTATCGTGAAATATTTTTATTACATACCTACACATACCTATATGTTGATATTTTATTGAACTAAAGTATACACTAAAAATATCCGTATGTTTTTTTAAGGAATAAAAATTTTTAATATAAAGAATTCTATTTGAGTATTCAAATACTTTATATTCAAATATATTTGCATGTTTTATTCAATATTCAAAATTTTTTTTTTTTTTGGAATACTTAAATAATTTTGAATATGAAAAGACGTGTTAAGCTTTTCAGTAAAATGCAATCTAAATAATAAAATAAAAATTAATTACTTACAAACTTGATTTTTTATGCCTTTCTATAATAAATAAATATTTAAAAGACATTATACAAAAAAACTGCCAAAACCGTTTTTGAAAACTGACGATTTTTTATTTAAATCGGTTTGACAAATAACCGCAGTTTTTGGTTATCAGTTAAAACCAATCGGAAACCCTAGTTTTCACCTTTTTCTTTTGACTTTTTTTTTTTTTAAATAATAAGTTTTTCTTTTGATTTTTTTTTTTTCTAAGATTATCATGTTACACTAAATAACCTTTTAAAAATGAAGTTTTCTTTTTATAAATAATAACATATCCTTAAGGCAAAAGATTTTAACTATAATATCCATTAAAAGTACACTGAAAGATATATCATTATTACAATATATAGGTGAAAACTAAAGGACATACAAAGGAAGGTGCCAATGATCTTGTCACGTTGGGAGATATGCTTTCTCATAAAGCAATGTACTTTGGCTTGAAGAGAGAGTTTCCAGATTTGCATATTGTTTCTGAGGAAGTATCAGAGAGTGACAAAACTTATCAAGAAGACTCTTCTTTATTAAATTTAAGTGCATTAGAAGAAATGAACTTACATTTAGGCAAGTTATTTTCACATTGGTAGCTTCGAGAAACAATTTTTCTCTTAGTTTAAAATGTTTTTTTTTTTTAGTTTCATGTTTTTTATAAAATATTTCATTAAACATAAAATATTTTACTCATGACATTGATTAATGTACCTTAATATTTATCAGTTTCCAAACTTCTATTATTACCATAATATGAATTTAAAACTTTTTATTTTACTTTATTATTTTTAAATATTTAAAAAGTTGACTAACTATTTTCACACAAATGATTTGGCTGTGTAGAAGGAGCTAAGCCAGGTTCAAATGTTGTTAAATTTATAATATGGATTTTATTGACCTTACAAATGATCTAAACAATCACTTAATTGTAATTTTCCTGTCTCAAAGAGCTGCACTATTGTTGCTTGCTAGTGGTTGTCAGTCAATGCAACACTCCTCACATATTTAAAAAATATTATAAAACAATAAAAAAACAAAAACAAAAGCACTATTAATTAAAAAGCCTCTTAACTTTTAAGTAATTAACCACTTAACATAAATATATATATATATATATATATATATATATATATATATATATATATATATATATATATATATATATATATATATATATATATATATATATATATATATATATATATAAAGAGAGAGAGAGAGAGAGAGAGAGAGAGAGAGAGAGAGAGTTAGCCAGAAATATATTTTTTATTGTTCTACAAAATATTGTGAATTTTTATTAATATTGTTCTATTATTACACAAAAAAAAAAGGTTATTGAAATTTTGGAATTTCAAACCTATTAGGAATTCAGTTATATATGCAGTGCCATTGGGCTGGCTAAAACCCTGAGTATTAGACTACATAAAAAAATACAATATTGTGATGAAGCTTAAAGTTTCATGCCTTTCAGAAATCATCAACCACATCTTATTTTAAAATTTTCAAAAAATATATATGGCTGACGAACATAAAAATATATATATATATATATATATATATATATATATATATATATATATATATATATATATATATATATATATATATATATATATATATATATATATATATATATGGCTGATGATTGCCGCCAAGCATGAAACTCTGAGTACCAACAAAAAGTTATATTTTTTTCATTTTAATACTAAATAATTATATATATATATATATATATATATATATATATATATATATATATATATATATATATATACAATAAATGACATATGTTATGTGTATATTATTGTAACATTAATATTACAAACATATGCATATAAATAAACAGAATTATAAATACATATAAATAAACAGATAGCTTGTGCAAAAACCAAAAGCTCTCGTAAAAAGCAGTTTAGAGGAGCAGCTCGCTCCTTATGTTCATTTTAGGAGAGCTTTTCTCTACTCTCGCACTCATTTACTCCCACCGAGGCCTATTAGGGTGGTCCATAAAACAACTTTTTTGAGAAAAACCTGCTGACACCCCCTAAATGTGTTTTATCTAATGCAAAAACACTAGGTTTAAAATTTTTTTGAACAAAAATTATTTTTAGGGGTAGCTCAAGGCCCTCAAAAATTTGACGGGTCCCTAATATTTTGAAAAAAAAACTTTTTCTAAAGTATGTCAACCTGGTACTCAAAATAAGCAAAATTATATAAAAAATTTAAAAATGATAATAATTTTTTATAAAAATAATTTTTTTAGGTATAAATGCATAAAAACTATTGTTTTTAAGCTGAAAATAAAAAAAGTCAATATTTTCAGGTTTTTTGAGAATAATTTTTTTTAGGCATGTTTTTTATGTAAAATGATTATTATTTTTGAAGTTTTTATACAATATCGCTTCTTTTGAGTACCAGGTTGACATACTTTAGAAAAAGTTTTTTTTTCAAAATATTAGGGACCCGTCAAATTTTTGAGGGCCTTGAGCTACCCCTAAAAATAATTTTTGTTCAAAAAAATTTTAAACCTAGTGTTTTTGTATTAGATAAAACACATTTAGGGGGTGTCAGCAGGTTTTTCTCAAAAAAGTTGTTTTATGGACCACCCTAAGGCCTATATATATACATACATATAAATTAGTAAAAACACTTATTTTTTTCTTTGAAACGTTGTTTCTCCTTCTTTAGGTCCATCAGGAAGAATGTCTAAACATAATAAAAAATTCAAGTTATAGAAAAAGTATAGAAAATTTTACAGGAAGTTGGGTATTGTTATAATTAGTTATATAATAACTGAAGATATTTTGCAGCCAGGAATTTACATCAACTACATTAAAATAAAAAAATTAGTTATGAAAAGAATTCTTTAGAATTCGAATTTGGTCATTCCCTCTTGTTTCTTACAGCTTCAAATCAAACTTGATCAATTGCAAGTTTGATTTAAAGCTGTTAAATGTAATAGATTAATTGATTTCTGCTGGTAGGTCATTCCATCAATCAATAACCTTTCAAAAATAAAATTACATTATTGCTCCTGTGCTGTTCCTTGTCTATTTTAATGATCTTTCTGAAAATCTCACATCTATAGTTGCTTTATTTGCTGATAACACAACTATATATTTTAATCTTGACGAAAAATCATCATTTTTTATAGCTTTAGAACAAGTAGTCAATATATTATTAAAGCTATATTTAAAATCTATTGGAAAGTTGCATTTGTTAAGGTTATCTTTTTTTATTATGCTTGTCATTTTCTTACTCCTGATTGCATACCTCTACCTCTATAAATCTATTATTTGTTCTTGTATAAAATTTTGTTTTCATGTTTGCGCTCGTTCTTCTAATGTATTATTAAACCTCGTCTTAAATTTTCTTTTTAACATTCTTTAGAATATATTCTTTGATATAAACGCAGATGATTATCTTTTGTCAACTTTTTTCTATGAACAACCTATGAACAATGTTTAACATTAAAACTTAATTTTTTTGTACACAAGGTATATAACCAATACTGTTAAAGCATGAGTGGTGTACAGAATAGCATATTTGCGTATCAATATAGTGCATGCACTGTGCTTTATGTAAGCACACCTAAAGTATGCCACTAACTAGTTGCATCACTGTTGTTTTTTTTTAAATAGAGCTATCTGGTATTCAATGTTTTTAAAGGTAAAGTTTTGTACTCCATGAAAGAAATGAACATCTTGTGCAAATACAAACTCATTTACATCATATTTAGTATTCTTAAGACCTGTAAAAAATCAAACCACGCGTTAGAAAATATTTATTAAATTTTTCATTTTGTTTTCAAATACTTTAGCTTCGGAACGAGTGCGGTTTAATTAACTGAATATAAACAAAATAATTTTGATGCGTGCCTTCTTTTAAGCACGAATTTTTGATTTATATACAAAAATTTGTAAAGTTTTCAAATATTAATTTAGATAGCTACGATACTTTAGTACCTAATGAGGACATTACTGTATGGATTGATCCACTTGATGCAACGCAAGAATACACAGAAAATCTTACGGAGTTTGTTACTACTATGGTTTGTGTAGCTGTTAAAGGTAGAATGACAACAGTGTTGAAAATCTTGTTTTTTTTATTTCTGTAGCTTGAGTTTATTTTTAGTTTGTTTTGTTTTTAAAATATGATATAGGTAAAGCCATAATAGGTGTGATTCATTTGCCATTTAAAGATCAAACTGTTTGGGCCTGGAATGGTCATTCTAGTAATATTCATTACTCGTTAAAAACAGAAAATATAAATTCTCATATGAAAGTTATTGTTTCGCGTTCTCACAGCGGAAAAGTTAAAGAAATTGCGAAAATAGCATTTGGCAAAGATACTGAAATTATTACAGCTGGAGGTGCTGGTTATAAATCTCTCTTAGTCGCACAAAGGGAGGTGGATGCTTATGTCCACATAACTGCGATTAAAAAATGGGATATCTGTGCTGGAAATGCTATTATAAAACAACTTGGTGGCGATATGACAGATTTGAAGGGAAACGAGATAAATTTTTTAGATAAAACTCGTACAGATTTAGCATTGAATGATGGGTTAGTTGCCACTTTTCAAAACCATCGCGAAGTTGTAGCAAAACTTAAAGATTTTAATTTAAATAAAACTAGTTAATTTAAAAGTTAAAATCGAAACTGAAAATTATTTAATAAATTATTTTAATTAATTTGTATATTTGAAAATAAATCAAAATGTTAAATTGAAGAGTTATTTAATCTCGTCTTACATTCAATATTGAATTTAATATCGCTATTTTCAGGTTGAATTCAATATTGCTATTCTCATGCTGTTGTAAGCAGAATTAAGTTCATGTGCATCAAAATTAAATTAACATTACACAAAATAAATAATATAACTAGTCAAATAGATAAATAAAAACGATTCATGGGTTCTTAAAAAGTTAAAGTAACATTCTTGTACCAATTAATGCATTCTTGTACCTATTCTACACGTTTTATTTTTAACGTATATTAAGTTCTTATTGGAAAAGCTGTATAAAACTAAAGTAAAACTGCGAAGTTGTTTTATAAAGCAACTCGATGTTCTAAGGGAAGGTTTTTTCTCTTTACGTCATCGCTTAAGAATAAAAAAAGTTATGGATGGAATGCAAGAAGCGAACTTGAGTCAAGTTCGATTTGAACTTTACATTGTAACCAATAGCGGCAGAGTATTTTTTGAGGAGAAAACCCATACTCTACCGCTATTGGTTACAATGTAGAGTTCAAGTCGAAATTGACTTAAGTTCGCTTCGCTTGCCTGCGAGGCAGGCCAGCTTTTAGCTGGTCTGGTGACACATTTCCTATAGAAGTCCCCTTTGAAGTTTGTCATAGTACGCACTGTATTCTCTATTAACCCAATTTTCATTTCAAATCCGAATAAACGGAATACTTGTATCAATAATTTTTCAATTCTGTTGCAAAAGTTACTTAAATATGGTCGTTAGTCACTAAAGTCTGCCGAAAAAATCAATATTTTAAATATTTAGAAATAGTAGACTCAAATCGAAAATCACTTCAAGATTTTGATATTAAAAACGATAGTCTTGATCATTTTTTATCTGACTTTATTGGAGCAAATAAAGCTTATCAAGATGTTTGGAGTGTTTTTTAAATGATTTTTGTGCTTTCACATGGACAATTTTCCATTGAGCGTGGCTTTAGTATTAATAAACAACTTCTTGTCAAAAATCTTAAAGAAAAAGAAAATTTTTTTATCTGGTGGGAACCCTGAAATAAATGTATATTATATGCATGTATATATTTATTTCAGGGTTCCCACCAGATAATATATACAGTATATATTAAATAAATGTATATATCTATTCAAATATATATAACTATAGTAAACTATATCAAAATTTATTATAACTATACAAATCTAAATTTATTTATTTACACCATCCTTAATTATTTACGTATGAAACCGACCGTATCGTTGTTAACAAAAAAATTATTAAGTATATTTTACTCGGAGGAGAGGGGGTGGTCCGAAATTCTATATTTTTTGTTTAACCAGTTATTCTTAATTAAATTTTTTTGAAAAGTTTAAAAAACAATTCAGTTTTTGCTAATTTTTTGTTAAAAAAGACCTCCTACGTCTTTTTTTAACATTTTAAAAAATTATTTCATCTGGTTTTTGCAGTTTATAAAACAATTACAAATAACATTGAACTTAATCGTCATCGCGTGGTACTCATTGCAATCGGCTTCGGAAAATTACAAAAACCGTTAATTACAAAAACTCCTCAAGTAATATACTTAAATATATTAAAAATTGTAAAGTCAAAATTCAGGTAATTTAAAAAATATTTCTGGAAACGTGTCTCATAGTAGTTAAATTTGAAAATATAAAATACAGAAACAAATGAGTCAGAGCGGGCTAGCAAAAAAAAGGTTTGTAAGCTTTACATCAGGCGGATTTTATTTTAGTTATATAATAGATCATTGCAGCAAAGATCCTATTTATTTAAAATCATAATTGTTAATAAAAATACAAAAAAAGGCCAACTTATGTCTACAAAAGAATTAGTTAATAATTTCTACTGGAAAAGTCCTCACAACAATTTACAATCACATACGATGACTTTTTTTTTTAGTTGTTTAGGTGAAGAACTAAGGTTCTTATCACAAATCACTGTTAATAAGGAATTTAACTAGAAATTCCTTCACACCTTCTTCCTTAACAATGTCGCTTATCTGATCAAAGCCAACATCGAACCTCAGACCTCTTGATTCTGAGAAAAAACTCCAATTACTGCACCACGACTGCCATGAAGTTATTTTACATTTTTACTAGTGATTGTTACAAATTGTTCCTTATATGGACTAATATCGTGTATGATGCGTAATTTTTTACTGTGTTTATAACTACACATAATGATTACGTATTTTACTGAAAAAATGAAAAAAAAAATTTACTACGGATTCTACTTTGATAATTATAATGATTTCATCTAATTTAACGATTGATTGTTTCGTCAAAATAATCACTTTAATCAGTGGCAAGTGGGTCTCTCCCCCCCCCCCCCCCCACACACACACACACAAAAAAGCTAGCCATTTTGGCTCCGATTTTTTTTTTATCTTTTCTAAAAAAATGGATAAAATTAAATATATTTTATAATTGCTAAATTGATATAGAGTTTACTAGTGAAGAGTTTTTTTAAATACTGTAAATGTATTACGCAGATAATACAAGTAGGGGAGATGGGGGCACATTGATCGCCGGGGGAGTATGATCTTTTAGCTTTTACTCGTTTACTTTTGCCTTAATTTAACAGAGATTGCAATTTAATTAACCATTATACTACCCTTCATTGCTTAATCGTAATAATTTTTGATAAGATCAACTTCAACGTTAAGAAAATTGAAAAGACTGTTTTTCATCATGAAAAGTGATTTTTGAAAGTTGAAAAAACAAATTTAAATAAATTTTTAATTAGATTTCCGTATGACTTTATAACCACTTTATTGTAAACTCATATGTGTTAAGTTTATAATAAATTTGTTTTTTTGAGTTGGTTACTGTATTTATGGAAGTTATTGGCAATTTAAATTTTATACATTTAAACTTATGACGAATAAAAAATCTTTATATAAACTTTTAAAATTTCATTTTTAAAATGTAATAGTGTTAAAAACTAATATTAATAACATTAGTTTTTAGTTTTACATAAGTTTTGCAATTAGTTTACATAATATTATTATATAAAATATTTTTTTTAAACAATCATTTTATTTTACTTTTTTTTAAATTTTCAGATCTTTAAATGGTTAGGTATAGAAAAAAAAAAAACAGACAGAGTTGCTATATCATGTAATACAATGAAATCAGCTGTTAATGAAGTTTTTGAGGGCAGACCAGTGAATGTTGTAGCTCGCAAGTTTAGCATAAATCGAATGACCTTAAAAAGATATTGTAATAAAAAGAAGCTCAACCCAAATGAATCTTTTAAGCCTAATTACAACAATAAACAAGTTTTTACTGCAAAAGATGAAAAAAGTTTGTCAAGTTATTTACTACTTGCATCAAAAATGAACTATTGACTTCAATATCAATTTATGATATTGTTTCAATAGTTCGCGAACCATATACAAAAGCTTTCTCACCATCTAATATACAGAGAGGATTTCAAGTAGCTGGCATTGAGCCATTTAATCCAGAAATTTTTAAAGATGATGAATATTTACCATCATCAGTTACAGATCGTGCTGCTCCAAATGTAGTAAACACAATTCTTGTGGAACCTGAAATGACTGTAGCACATGTTGATGGCATGGAGCCTAAAATGCCTGTAGTACATCATGAAACAAGTTTTTCGAACAAAGTGTCACCAAGCATTGCTTCATTACTCTCACCTGAAGTTTTGAAACCTTACCCGAAAGTATCTGCTAGAAAAAGAAGTGTTAAAAGGCAATTAAAAACAAGGATTTTGACTGATACTCCAATCAGAAATGAAATTCGTTTCTCAGAAGAAAAGAAAACCCTAAAACAAATCAACCAATAAAAGAAACTCATCGCAAAAGATAAAAAAAGGGGAAAAGTTAAAAACTACTTGCTTAGGAACAAAAAACAATGTAATGTAAAAGCAGCATCACGACTTGACTTTGACAAAGGATGATAATATAAAAAAATAATCTTGTAAACTTTAGTTCTAATAAAAGTCTTGTATGAATCTTGTATTTTCTTTGTAAACTTAAAATACTGTATTCTTATAGACTTTATAAGCTTCACGTTTTGTAAAACTTAACACATATATATGTTAGTAGTATATAACGGGTTGTTTATGATAAAGAAACCATAGCTGACAAGCTAAACAGTTTTTTTCTTGAGATTGGTCCAAATCTGGCGGCTAAAATTCCATCTAGTATCATAAAATTTGAAACTTACCTCAAAACAGCAAATAATGTTATGACAGAACTAAATTTAAATAAAAGTGAGTTGCATAATGCTTTTTCCTTTCTGAAAAGTAACAAAAGTGCAGGCATAGATAAAATTAGCGTCGATGTAGTTAAATCAGTCTTTGATATTATTGAACCCTTATTGTTTCACATTTTTAATCTTTCATTAACGTCTGGTATTGTACCAGACAAACTTAAAATAGCCAAAATCACAGCGATTTTTAAGTCAGGTGAAAAAACAAATATTTCAAACTATAGACCTATTTCTGCATTACCTTGTTTCTCTAAATTGCTAGAACGCATTATGTACAATAGGCTTTATAATCATTTAGTATCTGTACAACAAACAATTTGGGTTTAAAAAAAATCATTCTACGGATCACGCGGTAGTTGAGCTTGTAAATCATATATCGGATGCTTTTGATAAAGATTTTTTTACCTTCAGAGTTTTTATTGATTTATCCAAAGCATTTGACACTGTCAATCATGAAATCCTTATAAAAAAATTAGAACTTTATGGAGTAAACAACTTAAACTTACTTTGGTTTAAAAACTACTTGACTAACAGAAAACAATACATAACCTATGAAACAAATGAAACCAAAAAAAAACTTATAAGTTGCGGGGTTCCTCAAGGATCTATCTTAGGACCATTATTGTTTCTAGTGTATATAAATGACTTATTTTTAGCATCTAAAAAATTATATCTTATATTGTTTGCTGACGATTCCAATCTGTTTTATTCACACAGAGATATAAAAATTCTTTTTAAAATTTTTAATGAAGAATTATCTAAAGTAAATGAATGGTTTATAAGTAACCGGCTTTCACTAAATGTAGATAAAACTAAATTCATCCTGTTCCACAAACCAAATAAAGTTGATAATATTCCACTTAAACTGCCAAATCTTTTATTCAATAAAACAGATTTAAAAATGGAATCTACTGTTAATTTTTAGGCGTAATTCTTGATGAAAACTTGTCATGGAAGTTTCACATCCAGTCTATTGCAAGTGAAATCTCTTATAATATTTCCGTACTTTATAAAACAAAACCATTTTTAAACGCAAAAGCTCTAATATAAATTTATTTTTCAATTATTCACAGCTAACTTCTTACTGCAACATTGCATGGGGAAGTACGAATTACGGAAAACTCAAAAAACTTTATAGTAAACAAAAGCATTCTTGTAGGATTGTATTTGGGGCAAACAGAACTGTTTATTGCAAACCACTATTAAATCGTCTCATTAAACATTTATAAACTAAACATTTACCAAACATTACTTTTCATGTTTAAAATGAAACATGGAATGTCTCCACTTATATTACAATCTTATTTTAGCGAAATATCTCATAAGTATCCAACAAAGTTTTCCGAGGATATATTTATTGTTTCGAGAATAAATTTAAAAATAAGTTCTTATCGAATTCAATATGGAGGACCTTTTTTATGGAAAAATTTTATTAAAAACTTTAATAAACACGGCTTTTTCAGAGTGAGCTTTACGGCTTCTTTTTGAAAATTTTGACTTAGGGGGTGTTACTAAAACATTTATAACTTTTGAAATATTAGAGATAATTTTGTTTTGTAAAATAAATAAAAATAACAATAAAATGTTTTATCATACGACATTTAATACAATAGTAAAAAAACTTCTTTTAGTTTACACAAAGCGCGACAAATGATGAACTTGGTTAAATTTTAGTAATTTGTTTTTACTTTTTATTAAAAAAAAAATCAGAAAAATATATTTCTAATAGTTATTATCAAATACATTCATTGTTTAACTATTATTAAAATAAAAAAATCTTACTTAATTGTTAAAGGTAAACTGAACTAGTCTTTATTGAAGTCTGCAAGCAAACCGCATTTTTTGCAAAATTATGAAAAATGTCGTTAAAGGGGGGATTAGATGTTAAATGAGCACGTTTTTAAATCTAGAAGTTCTTGTTTTAGAGAATAATTCACTAAGCTGATAAATTCAATGCATTAAAAAATAAAACCAGATTTCAATTTTGAAATATTTAGCCTTAACATTTTAAGCTAAAGCCTTTAAAAAACTTAAGCAATTCTTTTCTATTAATAAATATAGACACTAATAAAATAATTCATGACCAAAACTGAGTTAAAGTTTTTGAATTAACCTCGCTTTTGGTAATAAAATTTTTTTATGGCACTTGAATCAATCTCTTCTCACAAAAAATAAAGCGTTTCTTTAAATATAAATATAGCTAATTTAAATTGTTTGATGTGTTTTCATATAAAACTTTTTATAATGAGTTTATCAATTAATAAGTTCTTTAAGTAGAAAACGATCTTTGAACACCCAGTTGATATTAGATTTATGCACCATTCTAAGAGAAAAAACCGCCTAACTTTGTTTATCCAATACTTCAAAATTCGTCTCGCTAAGAAACTAGAAAAATTTGTTTCTAAACTAGCCAAGTTTGAAAACATATTTCATAACATAGCAATAGGTACAACAAACAACTTTTTGATTTTTATTTGCAGAAAGGGTTGAAATTTCAATAATTTGGTGCGGATTACAAAAATAATACGATTTTCATATTTTAATAACAAAATTAAAAATATAAATGCATTTAAAAATAGTTAAAAAATAAAAAATAAGCAATCCGCACTAAAAATTTGATAGAATAGACATTTATTCATAAATGTCCCAAATTTCAACCATTAAACATGTAGCTAAGTTATCAAATCTTAGTTGACCCAAGTCAGGTTTTCCGTAAAAACCCCAAAAAACAGAACAGTGATCCCGAATTGTTAGTAATATTTAAACATTAATATTTTTATTCCGTTTAAAGTAAATATTTATTTAAAAAAAAAGATAGGTCTTTTATATTTTTTTTATTTGAAGATGAAAGCGCTTATAGGAAAAAAATACTATTATTTTAAAGTTAGTGCATTTTTAATTTATTATTTGAAAGTTAACATTTTTAAACTTTTTTTGCGGAAATTATGTACTCTTTAACGTTTTTTTGTATATTTTATTTATATTTGTTTATAAACACGGGCAATTTGTAAACGGGGCTCGGTGATAAGACAGTCATTGTCTTCTTCTTGCTCCGGCCAATTTTCATAAAGGTAATATGTCTTTATTGTAAATATATGAAACGGCAAACGCTCTTTTACTGATGCAATTGACATATCAATTAATGGCAAAAAAAAATCTGCTTTATACTGATATTCAGGTTGCCGAGTCTGATCAATACGCTCGTATGAATAAATCGATTTTTTTTTTCCTAAACGTATTATTAGAAAATTCTTTTCAATGCCCAATACTTCTCCGATTTCTGATGCCTTAATACGTACGTCGGAAAATCCATTTTTGCGATACTCATAACGAAATGCATTTGTTGCCTTTATTTCACTAGCTAATATATCGAGAGAGGTTACAGAAGACTGAAAAAGCTTACTTGATTTGAAGTAAATAATCATACCAAATAATGATTGATAATAAGAAAAGCCATGTTCTAATATATTCCGTGAGCGATCGTATTTATGTGGCTGTAGCCCTATCTCTTTTTTTAAGTCATGTTCTTCCGAACAATCGAGTGCCTCTAAGGTTTCTTTTAAATAACAGTGATGTTGTTTAACACAGTTTATTCTACTTTCCCATCTGTTATCTGATTGTGGTTTGACAGAAACAGCCACACTGAATTTTAAAATTTCCCATCGAGGAGACAATGAAAAGAATGTATATAACCTCGAAAAAACACCAAAAAAAGAAATTGCACTGATAGATGACCAATGCTCATTTATTCTTTGTGCGAAATGCATGGCGTACAATCTAAAATAATAGAATAATATTTTGCTTTTTTTTACCTTAGACAGGTTTTTGGATTCAATCTCCTCTTTAAACCTCGCTCTGTGTGTCATTGCTCAAAGAGAACTCCTTGGTTTCTTTGTCCTGAATTCTTTGCATAAGCTCATTGAGAACGGTATTGTACTTAATCAGTAATTCAAACACCCCAAGAAAGTTTCCATTGCTCTTTAAACCAATGGCTGTGTCTGACCACGGAATCCAAGATTTCTTGCAGAAAGAAATAAGGTAATGGTAGCTTGATTTGCAATGCCTGCATTACCAAAATTGAGGGAAAAAATTAGTTAGGAAAAAAAAGTTACCAAGCAATAAATTAAAAGCAATATGAGTTAACCTTTTCGTTAAGTCATCCAATGTTCAAAGTACTTAAAATGTGCACTGCATGTTTTGTGTTCTTTAAGTTTTTTTGATAAGCCTTCCCAAGTGTTTATTACTTGTCGGAATGGTAAAGAAGTTATCCCAAAAAATTTCCAACAAAAACAAAACTATTTATTGCTATTCAAAGTATATACGAGCCATGTCCGTTCAAAGATTTCTCCATTCTTCACCTTGCTGTTATAATAATTCAGTGAAAATTGTCTTTTTTCTAAATTGTCTGGAAAATCAATTTCAATCTTTTTAAAACCACGTTTAAAAATGTCACACCTCTGTGCGTCAGAAACATTATCAGGCAACTCAGAAGGATCATCACTGAGAAAAATAGGCGGAATTGTTATGCCATTTGATGTAGACTCACATATCAACCTATCTAACTCTAGTATTCAAATAATGATAATCAGAATTATTTGTAGTTTCTGTTGGTGTCGAAATATTTCCAGGCTAAACTGCTGGTTTCAAAAAATGTGTTAGTTTGTGGTATTTTGTGATTTCCTCCCTGGCTGCAGCTTTTTCTTTTCTAACACCACTTTTCACTTTTTTCGTACCAATATTTATATCGTGAAAAACTAACGAAAGATAAATATAAACTTTTGCATACCTTCTTTCATTTTTGTTTTTTATGATATAAAAAACTAACAACGCATAATAATAATAATAATAATAATAATAATAATAATAATAATAATAATAATAATAATAAAATCAATTCGAAATTGCAAAATTAAAATAATAAATTTATAAAGCTTGAGTTTTATAATATAATTCGGACCTCGGGAGTGTTAATTCTTTTTTTTTTTTTGCATTAAAAATGTTATTGCTTTTTTTACGCTTGCATAATTTAGGTAATACCGTGATTAAAAGGCCAAGTTTTTTTATTAATAGTAACAGTAACTATATATATTTAAATAATTTTATTATAAAAAATACAAAAATTTTTTTTTTTAACTTTTGAAAAGGGCCCCTAAATATGCTGGGTCCCCCCATTGGGGGAGGGGGTGCGGGAGAGCTTAGCTACGGCTTTGACTTTAATTGAAATTAAAGTAGAAGGCTAAATTTTATCATGAAAAAAAAGTATTAAGTAATTTGAAACCAGCATAAAAAACTAATAAAGATTAATTGGTTAAACTACACAAAATCTGAAAATAGTTAATTATGGACCCTCCCTAATATTACTGTCTTTTTTTTGACTTAACCCATTAGCAAGTAAAAACCGTGCATAGTACTCGCTATCCTATAATCCGCTACAACAACAAAAAATTATTTACAATAAAAACATGGGTGTCAAAAAAACTGTTTTCTGTAACACTCAGTCTCTCTTGTCCAGAAAGAATTACACGTTCTGCGGCCAAAAACCTATATACTGAAACCAATGCTCCTGCCTCCTCAATGAAAAAACTCAACACCTATGTCAAGTGCCTAAACAACAAATAGTCTCAAAAAATCATCGGATAACTATCAGAATGCCGTCAATTTTAGCTACTAATGCCCGTCATTGCTGAATAAAATCAACGAGTTCATATTAAAAAACAACAATAATAAATTCGACATATTAGTAATTTATTAGAAACCCGGCTTGATTTGACTATTCTTGATGGTTCGGCTTGAGTGACTATTCTCAGTTGAAAAAGAAAATAAACACGGTGGTGGACGGGCAATCTATTTCTGTTCTATTTTTAAATTCTGTCAATTGGAAATGAAAGTTCCTAATTTATTGACAACAGATATTCTTGCAGTCAGATTTCCAGCCCTAAACGCGCTTATCATTGTTGTTTATCATCTATATTGGGACATTAACTCTATCCATCTAAAAACTTTAAAACTGTTAAAAGCTTTTACTGATCAAAATCTTGGTAAATTTGAGAGACTTATTCTGTGTAGGGACATTAATGATCTCCAAAAGTATTATACCGATTTTTTTGTTACTAATTCGCTAAGTTAACTTGTACAGTTTTCTACACGTGGTGTAACACTCTCCATATCATTGCAACTAATGTACCCAAACTGAATAACATTGCAAAAAAGCTCAGCCAACTGGGCTTTTCTGACCATTGAACAACTTTGCTGGTCTCCATTTAGGTGTTGCCTCCCAAATCGTGGAGGATTTTTATAAGAAAATTTAGCGCTAAGGCTCATGCTATTTTTTGTAAAAATTTACTACGTGTAAAATCAACATTCGTTCAAAATTATGATCATGTTGATTCCATGGTTTCTTGTTTTAGCGGGTATTTATATGAAATGATTTATAGAAGACCAATAATATTAAAAAAAGGTTGCAGTCATTGAAATAGCAGTCGTATCTAAAAATGGAAAAAAAAAAATACTTTTTTTAGAGTTAAACATTAAAAAAGTTAATTTTTTAACATTAAAAAGTTAAAAATAAGTATAATATAATAAAATATTTACCTTTAGTATTTTGTTGCAAAACCTTTGTTTTGAATAACGGCTTCGCAACGCCGATACATTGAGTCAACAAGGCGTTGACATTTTTCTTCGGGTATTGCGTACCATGCTTGTTGAATAGCTATCCATAACTGCTGAGCATTAGTTGGATTAGCAGCAGAAACTGCTTTTTTAACGTCTCTCCATAAGTTTTCCATCGGGTTTAGGTCGGGTGACTGAGAAGGCCACTTCATAACCTCAACCCCATTGACCTGAAACCACTCCTTTGCCTTATGACTAGTGTGTTTTGGGTCGTTATCTTGTTGGAAGACCCATTTTAGCGGCATGTCTTCAACAGCATAGAGTAGCATGATATTATTGAGTATGTTGACATATATATGTTGGTCCATGATACCATTAATCTTATAAATAGGGCCGACACCATTATATGAGAAGCCTTGAACTTGTACCTCCATAAAGAACAATTTTCGATTCATCGGTCCATAATATGTTGCGTCACTTTTTTATGGGCCAATTCAGATGTTGCTTTGCGAACTGCAAACGTTTAGCGGTATGTTTTTTTGTCAACAAAGAAACCTTTCGTGGACTGTGTGCATATAAACTGTTCTCTTTTAAGCGCCTACGAACAGTTGTGTCACTCACATGTAAATCAAGATCATATTTGACTTGCTTGGCCGATAAAAATAGTTTACTTTTAACATACCTTACAATTCTTCGGTCTTCTTGTGCGGTAGTCTAACGTTTTCCACCTCGTTTTTCAACTTTTGCTTTATAATTTAAGGCATTTGAAATCATCTTTGCTGAACATCTGATAACATTTTGTATATATGAATAAGATTTACCCTCTCTATGATGTTTCAAAATAATGTTGCGTTCTATTGGTGTACAATGACGTCCTCGACCCACTTTGAAAGGTTTAGAAAAAGCTTTTACCATTGAGCATACACAGATAAATAAAGTATATATTATAATTGAAGTTATGCTTACTTTTCCTGTAAAAATTACGAAAATTTCTTTAAATCTTATAAACTAACTTTAAAACCAATACAACCACTGCTATTTTAATGCATTCTCTCAGTTACAATAATTTTATTAAAAATAACGGTATTCTTGGATGAATTGAATTCTCGTATGCTAAATTTACTTATCTCATTATTGTAAATACACACACAAGAAGAGTAACAATGAAAGTACGAATAATTTTTTAGTACTGCTATTTTCATGCTCACAGTTGTATGTTTTTAACTCAATTTGTTTTAGTTTTTGTTTGGTTACCAAGCTACTCCTATTTTTCTTTTTTACTAACAACTTTGCTGGTAGATTGTTAATTTTTGTACAATTTTTAAATTTTAGTTTTCTTGTTAAATTTAAATTTTCACGCTTAAGGAATCTTACCAGTTGTCTCAGTTGATTATTAACTTTAGCACATTTACATTGCATTTCCAATTCAGATTTATCAGATGCCTTTAATTTCTTTATATTTGAAGTAGAAACTTCATCATTATTAAACCTAAAAGTTTTGCGCTTGGCTGAATTAATAATAAACTTTTTTTCTAAAACTTCAATTATAAAATTCCAATTGATGGTCTTTTCTTAAGAACCAGTATGTCTTTATAAAGCTTATTTAGCTTGTTTATAACAGCTTGGACTGAGTATTGAATATTTCCTGAGTTCATGATTTTATGAAGCGTTTTTGCCGAGTTAAATAATTTTTTCTTTTCAACGATAAATGTGTAGATGGCAAAACCATTTCTAAATGGAACAATGGTATTATCAGCTTTAAAAGAGTCAATATATAAAAGAGTCAATATATAAAAGAATCCATTTTTATGATGAAATTTTGAGCAAGTAATGTCTAAGATAATCAAAAAATACAAAGAAATATAACATTCTGACAAAAAAAAAATTATATAACAAAAACTTTATTTTATATATTTTCAATGAGAAGTAGCAGTCATCAAATACTTCTATAGCTTTTAGAAAATTGTTGCATATTTTTCAAATTATTATGACATTAACGCGCAAAAATAAAAAACAATGAAAAACATGAATATGTAATTATTCAGGTACCCTAAAATATGATAAAAACATTTATGTTTGTTCTTTAAGATAATCAAAAATAGTATAATGTTTCAAATCTCAGCTTGTATAATGTATTTCAAATCTCAAAATGTATAATGTTTCAAATCTCAGCTTAAAAGTAGAAAAACTAAGAAAAAATCATAGACAAAATGAAAATGCCCTAATTATTATATAATTATAACATAATTATTTAAACTGCATGTTACTTATTACGAATAAATTATTTATAACATTGTATTTTATACAATTTATATATAATAGACAATATTATAATGCCCGTTCCATCGGAACAAACATTTTATCGGGGGAAGGGGTAATACCTCTAGAGTAGGTCAAATACTTTGAGGATGAATCAGAATAAAACCTTATAAATTTTGCTTGCAATGTAAAATAAAATAAGAAATATTGAGGGGGTGGGGGACACTCCTGCTGCTACCCTGGTTGCTCTGAGTCTGATTATAAATAGTTTATTTGTAATAAGTAACCTAACTTATGCTACTTATTACAAATAAATTATTTATAATCAATTATGCCATAAGCAACTTATGCAACTAACTATGAACACAATCTTGTTTGTGTATACATTATACGGACTATTGATATGTGGAGATTTTAACTACTTTTCTATTAAATGGAATAAAGAAAACATCGGCGAACTTATTAATAATTCAGATATTTCTGCTAAAGAGTTCTTAAAATGTTTAAATGATTGTTTTATAAAACAAAATGTAATTAAACCAACTTTTCAAATTAATGAATTTAAATCCACTAATGTTCTTGACCTGATATTAACAGAATCAAACAAAAGAATAATTGATTTGAACCATTTTGATAATTTGGGTGCACTTAGTCACGGTCATCAGATCCTAAAGTTTTTAAATAGCTTTAGAAATAATTTTGAAAAAACGGAAGCAGTAAAAAAAAATATAACTCTGTACAAACACGGCAATTATAATAGCTTTTCCGATAATGTTAAATAGCTTTGACTGGCATCTTGAATTCAAAAATTTAGATGCTAATGTTTCATACAACAAATTTGTCGATATTTACAATAAAGGACTTATATATTTCATTCCAACAATAACAAAGGAAGTTGTTAAAACAAAAGCGCCTTGGATGAACTCTAACTTAAAAAAGTTAATTAGAAAGATAAGAAACCTCTGGAGAAAATGTTTACATAATCGTTTTTTTAAACAAAGGAAAGCTATTAGAATAAAAATCAATAAGAAATAAAGTAAAAAAAGAAATTAAAAACCAAATTAAATTATAATGAAACTATCATCGCCTTGAACGTTAAAAAAAACCCAAAAGCAATTTATGCATATATAAACAAAAAATGAAAAATTAAAGAAGGAAATAATGCATAAAATGTAAACGGCATACTTGAAACAAATTATTTATCAATAGCACATTCCTTAAATAACTATTTTAGAACAGCATGGATTTTCTAAAAAAAAAAACTGTTGTACAAACCTTATAGAATCTATGGATCTAATAACTCGAGCAATGGAAGATAATTTACCAGTAGATATTATTTTCCTGGATATGAAAAAAGCTTTCGACTCCGTGCCTCACAATAGATTGTGTCTTAAACTAAAAAGTTATGGTTTTAACTATAAAGCAGTTAAATGGTGCAAAAATTTCGTATGTAACCGAGTGTAACGTGTTGTCTGCAACGGCGAATTTTCAAATTGGTCTCCAGTTTCAAGTAGAGTACGCAAGGTTCTGTCTTAAGTCTCTTTATGTTTATTAATTATATCAACGAACTGTAAAATGTATGGTGATGATATTAAACTAATTAACATAATTAGATCATCTTCTGATATAGAAAAGACTCAAACAGATCTAAACAAATTAATGATATGGTCACAATTGTGGCTATTAAAATTTAATGTCAACAAATGTAAACGCATGCATTTAGGTAGCAAAAATACTAAGCATATATACACAATGTATGATTCAGTGTTAAATAGAGTTGAGTTACCAGAAACCAAAGTTAAAAAAGATTTAGGAGTTATGATTTCAAACAACTTAAAATGGTCAAGTCAAGTTAATTATGTGTCTGGTATAGCTAATAAAATGTTAGGAATAATAAAACATTCGTTTAAAAACTTAGACATTAACGCATCTAAATTATTGTACACCTCTCTTGTAAGACCGTATCTAGACTATGCAAACTCAGTGTGGTATCTTTACTTAGAACAAGATAAAAAATTGAATTGATACAACGTAAAGCATCACGAATAAAATGTCTTCAAAGGGAAAACTATGAAAGTAGACTAACCTACTTTAAATTAACGACTCTTGAAAAAAGACGCAGACGTAATGATCTAATCCAACTTTACAAAGTGTTAAAAAAAATAGATAATTTAACATTGGAATAACTACCAGATTTAATAGCTTCAAATACGAGAGGCCACAATATGAGGTTTCATAGGCAATTAACTAAAAATCCAAAAAGATACTATTTCTTAACAGTGTTATTAACAGCTGGAATAACTTAGATCAAAACATTGTAAATTCTAAAACACTTAAACAATTTAAATCAAAGTTGGACTTATTTTTAACATAAATCGGCTATTAAAGCCTAGATCAACTAGGCTCCGTACATTGTCATTGTACATGTACACAGTTATTATTAAATAAATATATACAAACATATATAGCAAATACAATAATATATATTTGTATATGTAATAGTACTATTATAGTGTATACCCTACTAGCAATGGTATCCAATACCAAATTTCATAACAAATACTTATCAGGTACGCACCAGGTACCAAATTTGTTATCAGATACGTACTATTGCTAGTTGGGTAATGAATATATACAAGTATGTATCCAGAAATTACCTTATTAATTAAATATTACATGGTTAATACAGAATAATCTGACTACACGTATAAAAATTAAAAAATCTGAATTTCAGATTATCATAATCATTATAGACATGTACTACATGTTTATTGTTTATAAATTATTACATAATTTATGTTATACATTTTTTAAATTTATAACAGACTTTATTTGAATGTATGTACAGCGAACAATTAAGTTTAAAAGAGCGTAAATTACGAATAATCTCAATGAACTTGTAATAAAATAGAACTAAAAATAAAATAAATCCTTAAGACTTTTATCAAGAAAATTAGCATGTTTTTGTGATGCCAACTTCCAGACATGGAGATAACTCCAAACATTTATGTTTATACTTATGCTAAATAAAAATTGTGATTATTTAAGTCTGGGAACAATAGAAGCCCTAATATTTGAGATGCCTCTGCTCCAAACATGAGAGCAACAAGTTGATAAAATGTTTTTTTATTATTATTAACTAAATCAATACTCATCGATAAATTGTAAATTTCCTAAAATAATTTCCTAAACTTAACTATTTCTCGTTTATTTATATATGTTTCTGTTTGAACACCAAAATTAACTCATTTTGAAAAATTTTGTCCCTTTTTTGGAAAACATTTTTGGAAAAAAGTAGTAATTGTGTATCCGAATTCCGTACCCGAATGGGTTAATCCGCATCCTTTAGAGCAATCAGTTTGAACTTTTAAACACCGTTCCACTTGATTTCCAATTCTATTTTAACCCCTATACACACGAACACACACTTATATAATATACACAAATAAACAATATTAGAACTTTATAATATCCTACTTAAAAGCTGCTTGATGCAGTTAAGGATAGAAAATTTTTTTCATAAAATATATTTTTAATTAAAAAATGTTGCTTTCTTTATTAAATTGTAGAATTAGTATAATACTTTCGATTTGCAATAAGTAACATCTTCTAAACTTTTAAATAAACAATTTAAAGTTGATTTTTAACCAAATAATTCAAATAAAATAGTAGAAAAATTCATTAAAACATTAAAAAATTCATTAAAACATATTTGATATGACATCTTCATATCAAATAACTTTTCGACGTACCTCTTTTCTAATATTTAATATTAGAAACACGGACGTTGGAAAATGTCAAAATAAAACTTTAGAGCGAAACATCTCGTATTCAAAATATCTAAAGAGTTTAATTTTACTTAATTTTTTTATCAGCGAAGTTTATTTTTAAAGGAACAGATTCGTTGACAAAGTTGGAATATTTTGTTTGGAACCTGGTAAAATAGAATTTTTACTTTTTGATTTTTTATTGCCCATAAACAGTTCTGTAAAATACGCAAACTTTGCGTATTTTACAGACCTGTTTTTAAGTCAATCGAGCTGGTAAGTGGTACTCAACTTACCTATCAACTAAAAAACTACAAATCGCATTCTGTAAAAAACTTTAATAAAGCGTGTCATAAAAAGGTGTTAACTGGTGTAAATGATCATAGTACTATGAACGAAATTTTGAGGAATCAAAAAAATTGTTGTATTGATCTAATTAGCAGTTTACAACACACATAATTAAGAGTCACAGATCAAGAATCACAGATCAAGAAATAATGTTTTGATTTTCATCTTCACCATCATCTTCAAGAAAACATAACAGGCTATCGTCTTCAAACGTCGGAAAAAAATAGCTAAAATCATAAAAAAAAAAAAATTACAAAAAGGGTTAAATGTAGTTAATGTAGTTAAAACAAAAAATTACAAAATAACCTTGGTTGGTCCCAGGCTTTTTTGTCTACTGGCAATTGACAGTGACGTTTAGCAGACAAATGAAGCTCTAACTCCCCTCTAGTCGAAAATTTGTCCATGCAATACGGGCAATTTAATTCAAATACCTAAAAAGGTATTTAATTGAAGTAATTCTGCTTACTAAAATAAACTATAATCAAAGTTTTTCATTATATTTCTATTTTTATAAAAATATTTTTGTTTTTGACATTAAATACTTTTTTACCTTTTTGCGAATATAGTTAACAATCTTTACTTGATGATAAAAATTCAAGTCTAATTTGAGATTTAATAAAACTATTAAATAAAGAACAAACCAAAAAGATCTAGAAAACAACAGATAATTTAACAAAAATTGCTTACCGAGTTTTTTTCTTAACAAATTTAAATTAAAACCATGATCATTCTAAAGAAAATTAAAACCATTATTATTCTAAAAAAAAATTAAAAACGATTATTATTTTGAAAAAATTATTAAAGTTAAATATTAAATATGACAAAAATTAAATAGCTAAAAATTACTATTTTGGTTTTTTGGCTTTTGTAGTGTAGTCCTATTATATTGCAATATTGACTAGCATGACGTAGAGTGCAGGCGGTGAGATCTGTTGCAAGGACACGCCCCTGACGACACTAATGACGTTTCGGAGAGCCCGAGACCTGCACTAACGCCACTCGTCAGGGGCGTGTCCTTGCAACAGATCTCACCGCCTGCACTCTACGTCATGCTAGTCAATATTGCAATATAATAGGACTACACTACAAAAGCCAAAAAACCCAATCCCTATCCCAGTTTTTGAAAACAGCTCCAACATTCTTAGAGATCTCGTGAGGGTGGTGAGGAATGCGCGTGGTATAGCTGTAAATATGTGTGTAAATACACGCACTCACAATATAGAAAAATAAATAAACACATATCCCTCATACATACATACATACATACATACACATGAACATATCTATACAAAATAGTGACAATAGAGCATATAGAATAGTGACAATGACAACAAAATAAATAATAAGCAGCAGATAGCACATAATACTACAAAGTGACTTACCATTTTTTAATAAAGTAATGCCTAATATATATCTGTTTATATATATATATATATATATATATATATATATATATATATATATATATATATATATATATATATATATATATATATATATATATATATATATATATATATATTCACAATCCAGGAAATCACGACTCGTAACGATTTAAACTAGGATAAAAATAGTATGTGGTAAAGGTTTTATTAAACAAAATTACTGATAAAATTAGTGTTCAGAGAGCAATTGAGAAGAAGCAGCGTAAAAAAAGAGATGAACTAAACACAAACTTGAAAGATGGGTAGTTAATTAAGAATGGAAAAAAGTTTTTTTATGTTACAAGAAATGGAGTTCTAAAAAAACAACAGCTGATTCTAACTACTTTGTGCAACAAGATTCTAACTACTTTGTGCAACAAGATTCTAACTACTTTGTGCAACAAGATTCTAACTACTTTGTGCAACAAGATTCTAACTACTTTGTGCAACAAGATTCTAACTACTTTGTGCAACAAGATTCTAACTACTTTGTGCAACAAGATCTACAGCAAGTACCACAACTCTCACAACAGCAGAACCAACAAGTTAAATCCAAAACTGTTAGCAATTAACAAACAAGTTAATGTATAACACTGAAAATGTCCAGCTAACTAATAAAATCTGTCTCGATTTAAACCTTAATAGTTAGACATTAGGAGTTATTGGTTATTATCACAGTGGTGGTTGCAGTAAAGATGCCATTGACTATATGGAAACTAGTGTAAAATGTTTTTCTATGTTGTTTTCCACTGAAAAAATGCGATGCTTAGAGATTTTAACTTACCTGATATAGATTGGCACTATTATCGTGGTCCAGATAGTTTTACCAAGCCATCAATACATCTCAGCCTATCAATAGATTATCATTCAAACATATTTTAATATTGAAGATTGTTCGCAAACCTTCACTTCTATACTAAATAATATCATTATACAAAACGTAGCTGAAGTGCGTTTCCGTGCCGATCATATTTTACCACATAAAGTACACTTTCCTCATTATGTTAAAAAACTGATAAACGACAAAACAATTGCATAGAAGAGATCAAAAATATAAGGTAAACTTGATAACAAACAAATTATAAATTAACTGCCTCAAAATGCTTTGTTGCCATTAAAAAGTGGCATTAAAATTGCCCTTAAAATCATGCAGCAACTAAACTAAAGATGATAGACCAAACTTGAGTTTCTTTAACTTTGTAAATGACGTAAAACGAGCAGTAAACTCAATGAACCGATCTGATAGTAGTTAACTCAATGAGCCAATCTGATAATACATTTTCCCCAAAAAACGAAGAAAAATCTTGTATTTTTAACAACTTTTTGTTTTTACAATCAATAATGGCTTCATGCCTTAGTGTTTACAGATCGAGTACATGCACGTTTAACTTTTCTGTTGTCCACAAAACTGAATTTACAACCTTAGGGGCTCTCTCTGGCCAAAAAGTTCTATAGGACGTATATGATTTTAGTACAAAAAAAAAAAAGACATAACTTTGATAACTGTAAACACTTTTTAACTTAAGTGTTTTAATTTAATGTTTCTTATAGAATCCTATAGAACTTTTTGATTGGGGTTAGGCCAACAAAAATTCGAGGCGTCATTTTTAAAAAGAAATAAAATTTTAATTCCAAAAATATAATATTCGTTGATAATAATGTAATTAAAAATTTTATTTCAATTTTTCTTGTTTACATTCTACATAATCATTTTTTTATCTATTTTTCATAATGAAAAACTTTAATCAATAAATATAAATCATTAATCAATGAATCAATTGACTTTATTTTGTGTGCATTACTTTTAAAAGAAACGTGGTTGATGGCAGATAATCTTTTTTTAACTTTAATTTTGAAAATGACCGCTATCCAGAGCAGTTGAATATCATGAAAGATATGAAAATTTTAAGAATGATCTCAATATTTGGAAAAGCAACCTTCATTCATTTTTTCTTAATAAGTTTGTACAAATCCAAATGAAACAATTGAAGAGCTTGAGTATTAAAATAAGCTTTCAAATATAGATTATATAGAATTTCGATTTCGGCATATAAATTTTCATCAATATTATCAGAGTAGTCTCCCACCAGACACCAGCCTCCCATCAACATAACTTCAGTTTGTCTTTATTGATTCTTATCTCTATTAAAACAAAAATTTGTAATTAAATTCTTGATAACATTGAGGTCTCTTTTTCAAATTTGTAGTGAGTTTATTGATGATTTAAAAAATATATATTTGTCTTAAACTTTTTATGTGGACTCAACTGAGGTTTTTCTGATTGATTTTCAACTAAAAGTACTTTCCTATTACGGTGTCTCTTTTGTAACTAGTTTGTGTCTGGTAACAGTAATTCAGCATCTTATTCTATAAATCGAATGTGTTAATTATTCCATGAAAATAATCTCTAAGAGATGAATAAAGTTAAGAGCGTGTATCCAGAGTAATAGTTGCACTTTGCAATGATTTGGAAACAGTATTCATTTGTTGTAAAATTTGATCCCATGTTGTTGTTTTTATGGCAAATTGTGAAAAAAAAATTGATTATTGATGTGGATGTAATCAAAAAATCTTTGAACTGGCTCATTACAAATCACACATAGATGATTTTTGTGGCTAGCATCAATTGTCGAATCTACTGATAAACCATAGTACTATGATTTTAGAACATTGTTGCTGATTAATTGCAAAACTCTTCTTGCCATCAATAGAATCGATTCATCACATGAAGTCTTTGAGAAGTTTCTCAAAAACTGCAAAAACTGCCCAAAAAAAAAAATTGTAATTTATAAATTTGTTTTGTTTATGAAAATAAATCAAATTTATAAATTATAAGGTTTTTTTAATTATCAAACAAAGAAAATAAGTTAGGCGGTTTTGCATTAAATAATGTTTACAACAGATCTAAACATTAACTAATTGAAAACAGCCTTAACTATTTTCTTTGTTAAATAAGTTGAACCAAGGCCCTTTAGAATAGAATATTTTAGAAGGCCTTTGTTGAATTTAAAATGTAATAAAAAAACATCAAATGTTTAATGAAATGATTAAGCTGATTGATCGTTATTCATACTAATGTCTTAAACTAAAAATACCAACATGAATGTTCAATAAAAATACTAACATGAATGTTCAATAAATACTTATACATCAACGTTAATTAAAAAAACAATTTCTCAACTTTGATTGACTAAAAAAATGTTTAAATAGAAACAAAAAATTAGAAAAAATAAATGGAGTAAAATAATTTTTTTTTTCTTTATAAATTTTCAAATGAAAATATGTTTTTTCCAAGAAAACTCGATTCGAGGCCCCTTTTTTGCAAAACTTTGTAGGCCGATTAAGTCTTTTACAAGGCCATGACCTTGGCCTACCCATAAATTCGGCATTGGACGTCCATAAACTTCCTTCCTTCTATTGTAGAAAAAACACTAAGAGTGCTTAAAACAACCACATCTACTGGTCAGGATGGCATTCCAAATGTTCCACTAAAGCAATGCGCTAATAGTATAGCAGCTCCCTTAAGCCATTTGTTTGATATTTCATTTAAAACTGGTGCTTTACCATTAAACTGAAAAGTAGCAAAAGTCATTCCGATTCATAAAAAAGGATCAACAATTGACCCAAGTAATTATAGACCTATTTCTTTGACATCTACTTGTTGTCATGTACTCACATGTCCTTAATACAAGGAGGGGAGGGGGGATGTTTATTAATTTTTGGAAAATTTTCCCACTTACCCCAAGCTTATTAAGACCTCCCCGTTTGTTAATTTTTACTTGTTATCAACAAAAACTTTAAATCTCAAAATTAAAAAAAAAATCAGTGAAAATTGGCCTTCAAAATTAGGAAATAATTTTCCAGTCACTGATAAAAACTAAAACTTGTGTAAACAGGATTTAAAAATTGCAAACCTAGTAAACCTCGATTTGTCAAAAATGAGCTTTTGATTTATTTCTCAACATAGTATAAAACCTATATCAGCATATTAAATTCTATTGAAATTATGATAAAACAGCTTTTAGAAAATTGGAACTGCACACAAGATCACAAGTGCTTAATTTAAACAATGTTACTTCCCACATATCTATATCAAGCAGTTTGCACATAGGAGTGTTTTGAGACCAACAATGTTCTTATTGTTTATCAGTCCTGTCATCAGTATCATTTCCGGGGATTTAAGACCTCCCATTTGCGTAATAAATTTTAAAATATTTTTAATTTTGCCTATATATTTATAGCAAATATATAAATATAATTTTTTTAAAAATAAAATAACACAAATACAAAAATTCAAAACAAAACA